AAATAAGTCTTGTCTAGATAGTACATCCTCCATTTCGTCACACCTTTCTTTCATCCATTTTTCTTTGGCTAATTCGATCATCTTTTTTATTCTTCTCTGCAGGTGTCTATATTCTATTACATTAGATTTTATCAGGCGACGTTGTTCCATTAATTTCAAGATGTCATCCATTTATTTTTTTTTGATTAAGTTTTTTCTATAATCATTCCTTGTGGAAATTTCATTAACTTGATTTTTCAATTTACTCCATCGTTCTTCTGAATCTTCTAGTTGTTCTCCGATGTTTTTTATTCTATTGTTCAAAACCAGACCATTAACGTAAAAACACGAAACAAAAGGCCTATATTACTGCCTTGTTAGGTACGTACTTATTATAAGAGAGCCCTCATCGAAGAAGTAAATGAGTCCTTCATATTCGGTAGCTACTTTTTTCTTACATTCTGTTAAGTGAGATTTTAAACAATAAAAAGTAGAACTTATTGCTAGACAAAAATGTTGTTTACACAAAACATTATACAGTGGTGAGTGCTTTATCATCCGGCTTTTTAACGTAAGAGATAGAAAATACAGTTACCTTGGGAAATAAGAAGAGATGAAACTCGTAAAGGTGGGAAATAATCGATAGAAACCTATAATTTACATTACATTACATTACCACCGTCGATAGTCTCACACCTTTAGACGTTATTATAGTATTAAGTGTTTACAAGTCGCTTTAAAACCCGGCAAAATAGCGGAAAGGATAGAGGATGGATTTTGTGAGAAAGAATGAGATATAGCTAGTTCTTAGACGTGGCTATTTGACTTCAGTCATAATTATACGGATGACCGCGAAAATATTTTATTTTAATAATTTCTGATGTAAGAATAAATGATTGAATAAGTTAAGAATTAAAGTAAAAAACATTAATTAGTAGCGATTTTAAATTATAAATCTTTAAGTTTATTTAATAATAAAAATAACTCAACTGAAATATTTGACTAAACTAAAGGTAGGTATGTTCTGTTCGAAAACATTTATCCTATGTGTAGTTGGTGTAATTATTAGACACGTTGTCTATTGACAAGAAGATTGGGGTTCAATTCCCACCAAGGATAAAATTTTTGTTTTACTCAATCAAAAAATAATAGAAAATATTATACATATTAGGTAACAAGTTTTCGAAAACCTCATTATTTACAATTTATTCTTATTCCAATGTTATAAAACGGAAAAAACGGACAAAATAATTCAAATTCAAAAAGATATTTATGTGTAACTTTAGACACTTCTAATACTAGTAACGACTGACATAAATATTTAGTGATTCAAATCAAAACGATCTCTGCATAATTTCAAATTATTAGAAAAAAAAGAAAAGAAAACCACATATGGGTTTTGAACTCTAATCGTCTGCGTCGCAGTGTCGAATTCTTACCACTAATCCACGAAGGACTGATGTTTATTTCCGTGACAAGAGTGTATGAAACTCCTCAAATCATAGAAATAATTTTTGGTTAATAATTTAAAACTTTAGATTAAATAATCACTATTAATTAATTTATTTTATTCACATTTTTGCTTTATTGTGGTCAATCATTTTTTACTTTATGCGAAATTAAAAAATGTCACTGAAATACGTTACACATACGACGTCACAAATAATAATTATGACCGAGGTGATTTAGCTGGAAGCTAACGTCTAAAGGTGTGAGACTATCGATAGTATTAATGCAATGTAATGTAAATTATAGGTTTCTATCGATTATTTCCCACCTCTAGGAGTTTCATCTCTTTTTATTTCACAAGGTAACTGTGTTTTCTATCTCTTACGTTAAAAAGCCGGATGATCAAGCACTCACCACTGTATAGATAAAACTTGATATTGTTACGACATAATACTTAGTAATATTTCCAATATAGCTGATATATTTATTCTTGTTTTAGTTGTCAATGTATCATCATTCTTTAATTTTCTTCTGATTATTATCAAAGTTTTATCTAATGGCATATTTGTGAAAAGGCTGTACTTAATACTCGATAATTTATTTAACAAATGTTCTTTGTGTTCTTTTTAATGTGTTTAAGTGGTGTATTTGCTTTATAGATTTTTGGTACTGTATTACATTTAGTTGTCTTGCTAATTTTTACTAATAATAAGGTAATTTTTGTTGGAACAAGATAAAAATAAATTAATGAATTTTTTTTTGTGTATTAAGTTACAAAACAAAATTTGTTTAGATTGTATTTAGAGCAGTGAATGAAGGTAAAAATCAACTATTACCTCCGATTTCGGTGAACCTCCATAGATTTGCATGAAAATTTGGGATTGAGTATATTTTACCCTCAACTTTAAAAGTGACATATGATCAACTTGCGCTTCTTGCATTTTAGAGGTGAAATGCACCCCTTTTGTTAAAAATGGTAAAAAATTCAGATTTAAGCATTCTGGCATAAATAATCTCGATTAATTAAATAAAATAAATATGTTGCAACATTTATAAGCATGATTTACGATTTTAATTAATTTTTCAACCCTTTTAGCAACTATCTCTTAAATCGAAAATCATGAAAAATTATTTTTTATATTTCTGAAATACCAAATCGCATATTAATATTACTCAAATAGTTTCTTTAATGTTTATGATATAATTTTTGATTGATCGCGAAATTTTAACCCTTAAAAACCACCCCCTTAAAGCAGAATCATTGAAAAAATTAATTTCAAGAAACTTTAATTATGTGAATAATACATTACTGAATTGAAATCTCATTTACTGAGTATTAAAGTATTTATTTATATATTGCGTAATTTTGCACCATCAAAAACTACCCCTTGTCATAAAAATATTGGAAAATGTTTTTTGAGTAGCTTTAATAGCTTTAATCATTTAGAAACTTTGTATTAACTTTATTAATATATTCCAAACTTTATTTGCGACACCCGCAAGAAGCGCAGCACCCTTTTTTGCAGTTGCAAAAAATCATTTTTAACAATTCTTCTGGAGCAGGTGGATTGGGATTTTTAGTTGGAAACAAAGGCTCTTCAATTTTGCACCATCCCCAGTCAACTGGACGAATGTCTTTGTTTCCAAGCCATATCTGGGTTTTTTTGATGTGTTCATCAAATGCAGCAACCGTTGGGACCAGAGATGAAAACTTTACTGCACTATTTTTAGTGGTAGCCTTAATAAAGGACTCATCTGTTTCAGATAAGCTAATAGGTCTTCGATGCGTTGTAGTTTACTCGTATTCATATCTTTTGCAGTTCTGTGCAATAATATTATGCAGTACCTGCCAACTTCTAAAATGACATCGATATTAGCGGCTTTGTTATAAAATATATCAATCTTCTCTCGCAAATCAGGTCTTTTGTCTAGAAGATCGATAATTTTTTTCTTCCTTTTATTATAAAAAGCAGAACTCGAGTCACATCCAGAGAAACAATGAGAGAATATAATAGATACTACTATGCATGGATAATTTAATTCTAAGCTTTTTGAAGAGTATATCACGGAGTTAATATTTTGTTTTCCAAGTTTCAAACAATAAATCTCTTCATCAGCGTTAGCTCGGGCAGTTAAAATAACTAAAACATCAATGTCTTCTGCTACTATAACTTTTGGCAAACTTGAGCCCTTATCCTCAATTGTTGTCTCTACTATTAATTCGTTAGCTTCTCCTTTTCCTCGCTTGCATTTAAAGGATTTTTTTTCTAGTCCCAACATAATAAGATATGATATAAAAAACTTTTTATTTTTATAAATACTCAAAAATTAATCCGTAAATTTTTATGATATCAGGTTCATTCAGAAACCATTTGAAAGGTAATTTCAAGAGCTATAAAGTCGTATAAAATTTAATCTTTTAAATCCCCCATTTTTTAAAAGATAAAAGGTTAAATGGCCCCGGTTACATGGTTCTCGCAATAAAATTTAGATTTTAAACGTTTTTATCTCAGTTATTTTTAATCCTACAAAAATAAAAAAAGGAATATCTTTGTTGAGAAAAACTTCAAATTTTGTTTTGTACCATTTTTTAAATAAAATGAGTATATATGGAGTTATTCTCAAAAGAAAATGAAATTTATGAACATTTGAAAAATCCTGTTTTTTAGATCAAATTTTTTTTTAAAAATATGCATTCTAAACCGGTTAAAATTTTTGAGGTCATTACTTACGCTAAAATAAAGAAAGTCTTATAGAGATTATTATAAATTTTAATTTTTGTGGAAACGACGTATGTTTTATTTTTCAAAAAAGGGTTTTCTTATTTATGTTAAAATAAAATAAAAAACATTAAAATGTTGTTTTCCTGTTATTGAAGCTTTAATATTCAGATTTGAGTACTCGCCGAAAAAAAAATTAATTTAATTACCTATAACTCGCTCTGAATTAATAGTAAAAGCCTTTTTCAAGCAAGGAATTTATTCAATTTTTTATTAGCTTCAATTTTGGTAATGACAACTTTTTTTTTATAAAAACTTACTAGTTTTTGAGTTATTTATGAAAAATCGCTTGCATTTTTTTCACGAAAAATAAAAATCTTTGATCTTCAATAACTCAAAAAGAATTGATTTATTTTAATAACCTTAAAATATAAATTTTGTTTAGATTTGGTCCCTCTATCGATTCCTGGGGTTATTTTTAATAAAATAATTTCCACCTTATAGAAGGGGTGGCATCCACCCCAGGGTAAAATCGCAAGTTAACACCATGTCACTTTTGGTTCTTAAGGTATCCTCTAACTACTCACCAATTTTCATGAAAATCGATATAGGTTCAACGAAATCGGAGTGAAAACCTTCAGTGACTGTACTAATTTTGAGAACGATTTCCGATGTGCAAATTGTGGTTAATTTCAATTAAAGGATAAAATATTTGCATATTTTTTAAATATTTTATAAAATTTTATTAATCTCATTCTTCTTAATCTTAATTATAACTTTTTTTAAAATCTGTGCGTAAATTTCAAATCGTATCTAAATAAAATTTCTATAACTATGACCTATAAACCTTACATGTGGACGCATCCAGACAATAGGACTTAAAGATGGTTTTTTGTGGTGGTAAAGTGCCTTAGAACCTGCAGGAAAATCAAGATCTTCAAAAAGACGGCCTTGCTCTCTACATGAACGTTTTATGTCGTAAAAACTTAATGCTTTTTTTCGCCGATCTGTAGTACAACACCTGAAAAGGAGAAATTACGTAAGTAACTTAATACTAGAACTGTAAGGTCTTAAAACAAGAAATTTTTATAATTTTTATAAACAAATATTTTACTTCACTTTGAGCTCTTTGAACATACCTACATATTTACGTTAATATCTAATGAAATTAAATTTATAGTATCTATCATGCACGATGTAGTATCTGATGATGAGATGAGGTATCTCTTTTTTAAATTAAAGCAATTGTCATTGTAGATCCCAGTGTTTTTAAAGTTATATGTTTTATAGACTTTTATTATATCTTAAAGAAAATATACTCTTTTAGATGGCAAACAATTTGAACTTGGCGTCAGAATGAAATCAGATAGTCGAAGAGTCAGTGGATACGATACCGTTTATGCATTTTAAGTTACATATATTTGGCTTAACTCAGCAATATTCAGTGGAAGTCAGAAAAGATCATATACATATGTATAATAAAAATGAGTTTAGACATTAAATTTCAATATACCTAATATAAAAATTTTACAAATTTAGTTTGTGAAAGAGTTATCGGCCAATTGAAGTTGAAAACAAATTAAACGGTATTAATGGTATATATATATATATATATATATATATATATATATATATATATATATATATATATATATATATATATACCGGGTGGTGAATCGTCAAACGGGCCATGGGCAACTCAATGGGAAATTTTAAATTGTTGAATTGCTGCTTCCCTAATTATTTTAGATCAAAAGTCATAAAAAACTATTTGTAGAGGATTAAATTCTGAATTAAAAACAAATGTTAAAACCGTTCTACGAATCAAATGTACTTCAAAATTTTGCAAAAATATAATAGATTTTTCAGACCACCCCTAAACGTTAGGCCACACGTAATAAAAGAATATATTATAACGTGAGTGTTTTCATATTGATGTGAGATGTTTGACAATTTGAATTGTCAATTTTTTTTTTATTTTATGATTAAATTATAAACAATGAATTTTACTAAATACTACTACTGCTGAACAATATTACTTTGTGAATAATAAATTATATTGTTTACAAATCGATCAATATAATGAAATGTACTCAGTTGACGAACTGCCGGATCTTTATTAACGTAAGATACCTATTCTAATACACTAAAATTTAATTCCATGTTAAGTTAAACAAAAATTCAATAAATTCCAATATACTGTGATCTTTATTCCTAATAATAATATATTATTAGGAATAAAGATCACAGTAATTATTTCTAAACATAAAACTATAACAAATGTTATAATAAAACATGAATAAAACATTTTTATTATTGCTCTTTTCTCCTTAACTTAGTACATTTTTTAATCAACTTAATTTTTCTTTTAAATAATAAATCACAAAATGTTGGCCATTTAAATCATAGATATAAATATAATATAGTTGATTTAAATATTGTCAAATATTAGAAACGTCAATATGACAAAAGGCAACACGTAATCCACATTCTTTTCACGGCGTCTGACCTGACTTTTAGGGGCCTGAAAAATGTATTATATAGCAAAATTTTGGAATACGTTTAAGTCGTAGAACAATTTTAACAATTGTTTTCGATACATATTTGAGTCCTCTACAAATAGTTTCCCATGACTTTTGGTGTAAAATAATTAGGGAAGCAAGAATTCAATATATATATATATATATATATATATATATATATATATATATATATATATATATATATATATATATATATATATATATGTGTGTGTGTGTGTGTGTGTGTGTGTGTGTTGTTTCTGTATGAGCTATGAGTAAATTTGAATGATATATGTAAGTATAGGGTTTTTATCGCGGTTCTCAAAGAATTAGTTTGTTAGTACTTTTTTAAATTATCTTTATTATAACTATTATGAAACAAACATATCTATCTAATATAAGCAATATCAATTTAAAACAATCTATCTAAAATTTGAAATTCTTACAATTATTAAATTATTAACAAAATTCGGTACCTTTCTGTCACTGAACGCCTAAAGTTTTTCCAAAATTAAAGTTATTATCACCACTCGATATTTTCTTACTCAGCCTTGGTTATCCAACAATTTTAATATGTTTCTTCTTAATAATCTCCACTCACCATATAAATATATAAATTAAAATCCTTGTAATTTCCATATAATGTACTTTCAAATAAACTGGATCTTGTGGTTGTACTACTATTGCATGCTTTCTTCAATGAATTAACTTCATACTGTCACTATATTACTGTAGTAATAATTAATCTCCAACTGTATTTGACTTAATTAATTCATTTAACTTAATCAATGCCTTCTTCTAGCTTCAACCTAATTCTCTTAATAATTGACTGTAACTTCTTGTAACTTAACTCACTTCACGAATCAACTCTAACTTAATAATAATCTGTAACTTAATGCCTTGAATTCTTCTAACTCCTTAATAATCTTGTAACTGATTTAATTTCTTCTAACTAACTCTTTAACTAACTGATTTAATTTCTTCTAACTAACTCACTGTAACTCAATTAATAATCTTCTTGTAACTAAAATCTTGAATTCTAACTTTACTGACTGATCTAACTGAACTAACTGATTATCTGTTCCAAATTACATGGTATTTATATATTTTTCCTGGTTCCAGAATAATCTAGCAATAAATAAGGTTCGAATCGTTCTATTTTTTCTATCTGAACATTCTGGAATAAATGGAATAAATGGAATGTTTCAATGGAATTCTGGTTTTTGTTTATGTAATGGACTCTGCAAATAGTCCTATTGACGTTTCTAGAACTTTCTCTGTTCTACATGTACAATTTAACTGACTTTGGGCTCTCCAGATCAGAATGACACTAATATGTAACTTAAACATTTAAATGAAATATATTATCACTATTTTCAACTCCGTAATTATATTTAAATTAAAATTCCAAATAAATAACGCCACTTTCCATCTAAACGTCAAAGAACACAGTGTATGTTTGGTTGCATATGCACATGGCTGACTTAAACATATCTAATATTAAATAAAATGAAAAAAAAACTTCTAAAACTTAATTCTTATGCTAAATTCTTAAAAATACCCTCATATAATTATTTTTTTAATACTATTATCTAGTATATAACTTATAAATTATGTCTTTAATTACTATTTAAATAAATTTAGTAATTAACAGTGTATATCTGGTTGTATATACACATGGCTGACTTAAATATATTTCTATGCTAATTTATTGTATTTCTGTTCTCATTACAACAGACGTCTTCTTTTCCCGCTTCCTATGGGGTTCCATTAGGATATTCTCTTACTATCTTAATAAGATAGTAGATCTTACTGCTGTTTTTTTTGTTTATTATCCAATTTTCTAATACTTCGCACTAATGTTTTATTAATCTGTGTTTTTGTCTTCATATTTAGGTGTCTATCCCACCATACTGAGTTAAGTTGTCATATTGCTGTTCTTGTTTGTCCTAATCTTTGCGTAATTTCTCCATCTGTTGTTGCCTCTTTCGTGATTATAAACCTTAAGTATTTAAATTTGTCTTTTCCTTTGATTGTTACGTTGTCATCAATCTGTAGATCTTCAACATCTTCTTCGCTTGAAGATAAGTACTCTGTTTTCGCGAGGTTAATATCTAGGCCAGCCGTGGTATATTCTTCTTATAATTTCTTCATCAAGTAGCTGAGGACGTCTTGGTCTTGTGCAATCACTACTTGATCGTCTGCAAAGCTTAACGTATATAGATATTCGTTCCGTACGGGTACTCCCATGATTTCGCATTTTTTTGCATGTGGTCAAGGCTTTCTCTAAGTATATTTTGAATAGGGTTGAAGATGTGGGACAACCTTGCAGGAGTCCTTTTGTTGTGTTGAAGTCTCCTATGATTTTTATTCCCACTTTAATGGACACTTTATTTTCTTTATACAAAGCTTTTGTAGCTTCCATGAGTTCCGTCTGTATTTCTAATTTGTACATTGCCTACCATAGTTCTGACCTTCGTATAAAGTCATACGCCTTTCTCATGTCCACAAATGTCAAATATATCTCTATTTTTTGCTTTTTTCTTTTCCAACAGTTGTTCCAGTGTACATTTCTCGCAGTAGCTTGCCATATAATCTTCCTATTGATGATATTACGCTTATTCCTCTATAGTTTTCGCATCGCTTTCTATCTTTTTTCTTAAATATAGGTTTCATATATGCATTTAGTCCATTCCTTTGGGAGCTGTTCTCCATTTATGGCTTCCTGAAATATCCATTGTATCGTCTGGTTTAATTTTTTTGAGCCATATTTTATAAGCTAGTGTGAGATGCCTCCAGGTCCCGGTGCTTCCTTATTCTTGATTTCTTTTATGGCCGTTCTCATTTCCCTATCTGTTATTTCTATTTCTTGTTGTCGAGATCTGCTTCGTCTTCGCCTGTTTTATTTTCCAATGAATTGTGGTCTTTGTTCTGTTAACAGTTCGTTGTAATAGTCCTTCCATTCTTTGTCCTATATATTTCCCAATTTCATTTTTTCTTTTGAGTTTTGTTTCAATCCTCTCAGTACTTTCCATGACTCAAAAGTTCTTGAACCTCCTATGTATGTTTCAATATTTAAGCAGGTTCTTTCCAATTCTTCATTCTTTGGTTGTGTTATTTGTTTTTTCGCTATTCTATCGTTTTCTTTATATTCTTTATAAACTACATCATTGTTTGTAGTCAGCCATTTTCTGTGTAGTTGCTTTTTTTCTTCAATTATTCTTTTTGTTGGTTAATTTATTTCAGAACAGTGCTGTTTATTTGTTATACGTTCTTTTTCTCCAAGAACTTCGAATGCTGCTTGTTTTATACTTGCCTTTATATGCTCGTATATTTCTTAGATGTTGCCGTATTTAAATTCTATTAATTTTTGGTCTAGACGTTGTTGGTATTGATGATTGTTCTATGATTGTTCTTGGAGTAGTTCTATATTGTATTGTTTTTTTCTTATAGTGTTCAACGGTTCTTCTGTAAAGGGGGCTTATCCAATTAATGCCAA